CACACACACACACACACACACACACAAGCAGTGTTTTTCTGAAGGAGACTTCACTCACCAGGGCAGGTGTGGAGACGAACTTCGCGCAGGTGAACATTTTGACAGGTGAGTGATTTTGAGCGGCCTGGGACTTCTGTAAGACAAAATATGAAGTCAGAGAGGAATTATACGCAGAGCTGGAGAAATAGGTCTGTCGTACGCAACGAATGCGTGTGCTAACACTATCCCGATCAGACCCGCGGCTCTGAGATCACACAGACTGCAGATGAATGTAGATTTATGTGAACGCAATTATTTCCATGCAACTCACCGAAGGCAGAGGTCGAAGCGCCGGTTGAAGTGCGCCTGCGCACAAGCGACACTGCGCGAAGACCCGGATGTTGGCGTGACGTCAACGCAAGGTCGCTGCTTTCGAGCTTTATTGGAAAGAGCTCAGAGACAATCCACAATGCCACAGAAACCCTAAATAGTTTTGACTTGATCATAAATACGCCAATAGAATATGCTAATAATGTATTGCCACACATGTGACCCTGGAGCACAGAACCAGTCATCAGTAGCACGGGTGTATTTGTAGCAATAGCCTACAATGCATTGTCTGGGTCAAAATGATCGATTTTCATCTTTTAGTTCCAGTTTCAGTTTAATTTATTTATATAGCCCGTTTAATAACGACAGAGCCGACCAAAGTGCTGCACAGAGAAATAGAATTACACTAGAAATAAAAGGAATTCAAAAATGAAAGGAAACACAAATGCACAACACTAAATATTCACACAATAAAACTGCATACAGCGGTTTTCCAGTTTTTAAAAAGATATGTCTTCGGTAAAGATTTAACAACCTGAGCAGAAGTGGCCGAGCTCTATCAAAAAGGCAAGGTGCTGTCACCGAAAGTTAAGTAGAGATCATGTTCCATGAAGATATTTTGTAAATATCCTACTATAAATATATCAAAACTTATTTTTTGAGTAGTAATATGCATTGCTAAGAACTTCATCTGGACAACTTTCTCAATATATTGATTTTTTTTGCACCCTCAGATTCCAGATTTGTGACCCTGGACCACAAAACATAGGGGTCCAGCTTTTGGAAATTGAGATTAATATATCATCTAAAAGCTGAATAAATAAGCTTTCCATTGATGTATGGTTTGTTAGGATCGGACAATATTTGGCCGAGATACAACTATTTGAAAATCTGGAATCTGAGGGTGCAAAAAAATCTAAATATTGAGAAAATCATCTTTAAAGTTGTCCAAATGAAGTTCTTAGCAATGCATATTAGTGATCAAAAATTAAGTTTTGATATATTTATAGTAGGACATTCACAAAATATATTCATGGAACATGATCTTTACTTAATATCCTAATGATTTTTAGCATAAAAAGAAAAATCTATAAATTTGACCCATACAATGTATTGTTGGCTATTGCTACAAATATCCCCCAGCGACTCAACACTGCTTTTGTGCTCCAGGGTCATATATAGTTGTATCTCAGCCAAATATTGTCATATCTAACAAACCATACATCAATGGAAAGCTTATTTATTCAGCTTTCTGAAGATGTATAAATCTCTATTTCGAAAAATTGTCCCTTAAGACTAGTTTTGTGCTCCAGGGTCACAAATGTATTTTTGTACAAAGATTGAAAGCAACCTTAAAGTTTTTCAAATGTTCATGTGAAATACTTATTTTATTTTATTTTATTTGTTTATTTATTTATTGTTAAAATTTAAATACATAGCACGGGGACAAAAAAAAAAATCTCTCTATATAAAACCAAATCATGGATGTTATCATATCTGTTTTTATTTGAGAATTGTTTTTGAAGTTAGAAGCATCAACAAATATTTGAGCTGCATATAAATTTGAATTGCATTACAAAAAATATAGCCACAGAACTTGCATAATAAAACATTACTGTACAATCCAGAGCTGCTTCTTTTTTTTTACCAGAGTCCATTTCTGCCACATTAGGGGGAAAAAATCATTCTTTGGTGAATCTCAATTGTTATATATTAATAATTAATCATTAATTTTGTTTATAACTATGACTTAAAAGACTGGTTTTGTGGTCCAGGGTCACATACGTTAAACAGCAGCTTTGCATTTAATTACAAAACTCTTAAATATCCAATAATCGTATTTATCAAAGAAGTCCATTTCTGCCACATACAAAATTATGCTTTGGTAAATCATAATTATGACATAAAAAAGTTAGAAAACGTCCTAATAATGACATAAAATTAATACAATATGACAATAAGATCCCATTAGTTAATGTTAATGCATTAATAACATTAATTAACAATAAGCAACACATTTGTTATGGTATTTTTAATTACAATAACAATTAACAATAGTTAATAATGATAACCATCTCAAATCCAGATTATTATTATTTCATTCATTCATTCATTCAGATGATCATTTTAATAGTAAATGCTGACATTGATATTAACTTAGATGAATAAATGCTTTAGACGTATTTTTCATTGTTAATTCAGGCTAACTAATACAGCTAACCAGCATGAACTAATGGAAGCTTATTGTAAAGTGCGTTATAGGGTTTATAAAGCGTGTTTTTGTATATGTTATAGGGTTAAAAGCACAACACAATCTACATTAAGATGGTCATTATCTTAGTAACTGAATGGGCTGTTTGTTATCTGATGTTCAAAGCGTGCTAGCAAGTGACAGAGCATTCAAATCTGTTTTATGGCACTATTTTAATTTGTTCTGTAAATGGGACGCTTGTCCAGAAAAGGTTCCCATTCCCAGTGTCCCCTTTCCAGCAGAGGGGGTCAGTGAGCCCCCCGCACTGGACCACCAAATACTCACACTATTTCTGTAGCACACAGTCTGTGTACTATGCTAAGTATGTTCGTTTTCTGTATGTGTAGAGTACCGGGATGACTACAGACTACGTTTACCAAAATGTGCACTAAACAACAGTATCCTATAATGCAGTGCACTCAACCTGACTCTAGATTTCCTGTGAACCATAAAAAGTGATTTAATCTGTCTCTCAAAAAAAAGGTTTAAAGCTGTCACTTGGGCAGTGCCCTTTCAAAATGTACTAATATGTATACTTTAGGTACTAATATGTACCATTATTGGGTAAATAAGATGTGTCTTTTAGTTTTTGTATATGCAGTGACAGATTCTCTCCTTCTTTTCTAAGACGGCTGACTCGATGTTTTATCAAACTGCCAAGGGTTAAGATATTTTTTATTAAATTGGATAAAAACAAATGCAAAATAACGGCGTTTATTTCGGTGATAACTAAACAGAAACAAAAACTACATAGAATTACATTTTACATGATTGTAATGTCACATACTTTTAATATTGATATTATACAAAACTATGTTCTGAACCTGAAAAAAAATGGATTTCATGTGTGTATGCCTTTTGCATTGTGTTTGTGTTCAAATTTAAATTCTAAATATGACATAAAATTTTATTTAAAACAATTAAAAAATGTAAAAGTGTGTGTGTTTATGTATATATATATATATACATAAAAATGTCAAAAATGAATATACATGCATACATATAAACATTTTAAAAAAGGGATAATGGTGAAAATAACGTACTTTTTATGTTTATTTTATGCTATACCGTTTTTTTTAACATAGAAATTGTATTTCATGTGTATTTGTATTATTTTCATTGTTTCATAACCTTTTAGTCTTTTCAAATTTTAGTTTTTTTTTCCATATAAACATTTTAAACAAGGAATCCAGCCAAAATGAGCAGAAAAGTGTTTTTAACACCAATATACAAATGAGGAAGCCTATAAGACAGATTATTCACCAGGGAACAATATCTGGATGTTTAATTGTCAGACTCTCTCTTTCAATGTCAGTTCGTTCACGTTTATCCTCTATTTACCCTCTTGATCACTTTCTCTAGTCTATATTTCCAGTTCTTTAGTTTTGACAGAAGTCTCGCATGCTCACCATAATTTGATCAAAACGCTGATATTCTGGTTATTATTAATGCTGAAAACAGTTGTTCTGCTTCATATTTTTGTGGAGACCATGACATTTTTTTCAGGATTCTTTGATGAATAGAAACAGCATTTATTTGAAATAAAAATATTTTGTAACATCTTCACTGTCACTTTTAATCAATTTAATGCATGCTTGCTGAATAAAAGTAAAAAAAAAACACCAAACAAATAAAATAAAAATAACTTACTGGCAACCTTTTGAACAATATCAAATGTTGGACATTATAGTATGTATTGATTATGTTTATGTGTATAAAATTCTCTCCAGACATTACCTAAATCTGAAATACCCCCCCTTAGGAGGATGTCCCTAATTGGAAAAAAAAATCATATTAAAATTAATTTATTTTAAATGTGAATAATTATTGAAGAAAAAGAATGAATTGTTTTCTTTTAGTGGAAGGGCTTTAGGTTATTATGGTTAGTCATTATAATGTAAAACAACATAAGGCTGTGTGAAAGTGTGTGATCACTGATAAAGATGATTTTGTGGTTTAGTAAATACCGTACTACATAAAAACAAATGCGATTTCTACATTAAATAATTTAGTTCAGGCAAGAATGAAACATTTTAAAGTAAATTCTATGTTAGTACTCAATTTAAGCTTGTAGAAATTAAAGTTTGAACTTATAAAAAAGGATAACATTCTGTCTACTTGTTTACAGATTTTAATTAAGTTAATTCATAATTTTTACTTTAAATTATGTGCAAAAACTTGCAAAAGAAAGAAAAATTAAGTAAATCTTCCTTATTGTTGTATGCAATGCAGTAAATTACTGTTATTTAACAGCACACTCTTTTACAGTACAAAAAGTCAATAAAATTTACTGGGAATTCCCAAGTAAACTTAACTTAATTTATTTTTAAAGCTACTAAAAATTATGTTTATGATTTAACTTGTCAAATTTATGTAAATTAACTAGCCTTTTCTGAGTGAAATCCTACTCCACATTTGTTTATTATAGGGACAAAGTGTCCCCATTTAGGGATTTTTTGGTCCCCATAAGGAAACAAGCTTATAAATCATACAAAATGTAGTTTTTTGAAAATCTAAAAATGTAGAACGGTTTGTATGAGGAGTAGGTTTAGGTGTAGAGTTGGTGTAGGGCGATAAAAAATATAATTTGTACAGTATAAAAACCATAATGTCTATGGAGAGTCCCCATA